GGTTTCATGTGATCGTCATAATTCTTCTCTTTATTTTCTTTCACATTTGTAATTATATACTCCTAGTTTCTTAGCATAGAGTTCAGAGTATACAGAGTATACAGAGTATACAGGCAACGCACGAAAGGTCTAAGTACAACAAATACCTCTAGCCAAAACATAAAAGAAAGCTTCTACTACGCGCCATGTCTTTAGATAAGCTTCCTATTTTGCTTCTTGATATACATAATGCTTGCATATACATACCTCATTTGTATAATAAGGTATATAATAAACACCTCAACTGAACAACGAGGATCCAGTTCGAATCCCAAGCTGCGTTCTCTTAGTCCAAGGGCATATATAATAATCCATAATTATAATAGAGAGCCTGATTTGAAAGTTTCTACTTATTTAATATGTTGAAAATATAAGATCATTCGACTACATTGAAAATACATAAGACTCCAAAGAGTTGCTGTTCTGGTATTTCTATGTCACATTCGATTTAATCAATGGTATCAAATGTAAAAATATATATACAGTTTCAAGATAAAATTGATTGTTCAAATATACAACATAAAGGATAGCTGACCTGAAAGAACGAGAAATTCCAGGCTAAGAAATAATGTCATAGACAATGAACATAGCATCAGGTGGTCTTTAGAAAAAAGATCTGAATTTTTATTAGATAAAACTATTCGGTTGTCAAACATATTTTAAGGAAAATTTAAATTGTAGACTTAAAAATAATATTCCAAATATACGAAATGAAAGCAGAAATCAGCAGACCCTATATATGTTAATTCTATAAACGCTAATATTCATATATTGAAATATATTCAACAATAATTTTGCAGTTGCAGTCAGAAACAATCATATAATTTTCTATATTGACTTAAGTCCATACTCACCACGCAAAGCATTTAACCAAAACACGTGAGTCATTGTGACGCGTGCAAACGCCATTCGGGAATAACTCGATCGATTGGATAGTAATCCACGGCCAGCTCGAGATCCGCTGCGCTCATTATGAGGGGCGTTCGACTAGACACATGTGGTCTTCGGGTGATGATGACACCCGCGAGCGGCGACCGTGGACCGTGGACCGGAGACCGGGCATCTGGCATTCACACACGCTAACTATTGACTCGAAGCGTTAAAATTGTAATTTGTTTGCGGGCTGCATTTGGGATCATCCGACAAATTTCGTAGGCGTTAACCTTGTTTATGCGACCGCATAAATGTGTCACAGAGGCTACGGCCGGGCAGACAACTCTTTCGGGGATTCCGGGCGCCCCCTGGCTGTTGGTTAAACTCGTCACGTTTTGTGGTCAAATATTTTTACCAAAGGATTTTCCATGCGCCGGCGCAATAATTTTCCATAACGATTACCCATACTGTTCATACATTTTCGCATTAAATATGTTTCCTTTGTTGATCACGCCCACTGGAAATCGGTGTGATTATCACCCGGCACGGCCTACAGGAAACCGGACACGGGACACGGGTAACGGGACACGACACCCGCATCTGTCCGACCGATCCGAGCTGAAGCAATCCCCGACCGGCGACTTACTACTACAACTTTTCAAATGCTACTCGTGAGACTGAGACCCCGGTTCCACCAAAGCAATACGAGTAAAATATTCTTGATTAAAACTTATCAGAGCACATTTCATATCACCTTTTCAAAAACGCAACAAACAACAACAACAACAACAACAACAATAACAACCAATGAGTAACGCTCGTCAGCTCGGTAGCTACTTTATTATCGGAGAAACGGTCGAACTCGTTCCCCTTTCCCCGTGCCCACTGCCCAGTGCCCCGATCCCGCTCCCTGCTGGCCGGTGTGTGTAGTTTGGCTGCCTCGCCGATTGGACGACCGGCGAACGCAAGATATGGCTATCTGAGCCGGCATAGTACCACCCAGCCCCACTGACGCCACAGAAATCGACAGAGAGTGAGAGAGAGAGAGAGCAAGAGAGAGAGAGCCCTGGAGTCCAAACCCGATTTGATTAAGTTGCATCACGCGTCGGTCGCGCGACTATACTTATCGGACCAATTGTATGTCTCTCCGCTAATATAAGTAATATATGTGTGCGCGATTGTGCCTCTGTATGTGTGCTCATATATCCTTATCAATATTTCTATACGTTTGGAAAGGTTTTGTTTTGGTGGCGATGACAACGGAAACTTGGGAAACACCGCCAACACTACTGATTACCACTATCTGAGATGTTCATGGGAAAAACAAAAAAAAACAAAAAAAAAAACTAAAAGATTGCAAGCATCCAGTCAACATTAAACTATGCTAGAACTGATTGAACTTGGAGCGAGTTATATCCACCATCAAAATTTAGATGCCTATGGACATCCCTTTGCTTGCCAAAAAGTGTTGTCCACAACATCTAACATCTATCGGGAATCGCATAGAGACACTTTTCCCGTTGTAGATGCACTTGAAAATGCCAATTCGAGCCAAGTTTATAATATTATGAATTATGAAAGAAATAAGTAACTGCAATCAATTTAATTTGATTTATTAAAATAGACTCTCTTTATGAGTTCTCAAACTGTTAAGTCAGAAAACGAAATAGTATTTGTGTATGCCAAATATAATAAATAATATTAAAGCCCCACACAAATGCATACGCTTAGCATTATATATAAAAGTCTTTTAAAGTCTGGCGTCCGTCAGATGGAACGTATCTTTTTGAATAAGATCCGGCTTCTAAGATGCCAATGTTTTGAGCCTCAATTAAACAGAAAACAAATACATTCAGTTATTTGCGTGTTAACCTTGTAAATACATGCTAAACTAGAGATAAATATTAATTTTATGAAATGGTATATGGACAGTTTGCGGGCATCAGAATTCGATCTCAATCTATGCACATAACTATTTATGTACTGATGACAATAGAATTTAATATTTTAATTTAATATTTAACCAAGTGAATTATCTAAGAGATGCATTAGTTTGCAATGAATAACTCCAAACTCATGATGACTAAAATATAAATTTTTGGCATATTTATATTTGAAAAATTTAAATAAATAAAGACGAACTCCAGAGTGTCTGGTCGGGTGTCTGCGGAAAATTAACAAAACAATACAAAAAATACCAAAAATAAATAAGATAACGGCGTGAATAACTCGATAAACGGAATGTGCAAAGGAAACTTCTATGGAATACAAAATACGCCGGGCGCTGTGACGTCACGGCAAGTGATAAAAACACACAAGCAGCATATTGCAAACTGTGATAAGGGGCAAAGAGTAGCCGAGATTGTCAAACAATGGCTGAAAGTCAGATAAGAAGGTAAACAACCTGCGAGGAGGAACTTTAGGCAGGCGCCGTCATCAGCTGAAGAGGGACAAAAGGGCCCGGATCCTAAGCCGATAGTAATGTGTGGGTGTGGCCCGCCCTATCGCGGCATGCGCCAGCATCAGAAACTCCGATGCAAAGCCCGGAAGATGCATTGCGGGCATAAGATAAAATACAACAGAATCGAGACTCGAGACTCGAGAAGCATAAAGGTCATATACGAGCCGGGAACGCAAATGAATCCCAGAGCCAACAACATGGCTGCTCCCGGAGCGAACTCGGCTGCTTGGTTTATCAGCAACGGTTTTGCTTTTGCTTTGTTTCATTTGTTTGGCTTTGGCTTTGCATTGTTTTGTTTTTGGTGCCGGCGCGCATTGAACGTGCAAGCGATAATTTGATTTAAATATAAAATATTAATGGCCATTTAAAAAGAATTAAAAGCGGGAATTACAATAAGCGAACCCACCAGCTCCAGATAAGCCGCGCTCCACAAGCGACTCAGCCCCAACAACAAATCCGTTGGAAAATGCTAAAGAAATTGAAAAACACAGAATTTCTATAGTCAACACGCCGAAGAGTGAATACCCTTCTAGTAAAACAGTGCCAGCTAATACATTTTTTTCAGATATGTTGGGAAGGAGCTTCACGCAAGTAAGTCCGGCGCTTGGCATATATGTCTTGAAAAACATAGGTGACATATATTGGCACCAATTTTCATCAAGATATCTTGAAAGGCAAACAAGTTTTTCCAATAAAGGTTTTTCCAAGATAATAAAGTTTTTCCCATCGTTCGAAGGAATAGTCAAATGAATAAACGCCAAGAAGTTGATCGCAATTGCACTTCATTTTTTACCGATCGTTCCTTTGACTGCTATATCATATATTAATCCGATCTGGCATACGGACATACTTATGTTGACTAAGACTATATATGCCTGCGGAAACTTCCATAAGGGTATCAGAATGTGCTCAGTTGAGTCTGGCTTTGAGATCGGTTCGCTTCGACGACATAAATAATCCAGCAATGGACACAACCATTCGACTGCACAGTTTCAATGTACGCATATATGAATATATGTATGATGCATATAAGTAGGCATATATCTATGTATGTGCATACATACAATCTTTAGGCGCATCATCGTGACGGTGCCGCTAGAGATAAGAACAGATCTCAAAAATAAAATCAAACGCAGCGATTATAAAAAATTGAACGAATGTCTACTGAAAAAGAGGGAAATTGAAAAAAAGCCAAACTACAAAAAATGAACTACGTAAATATGTAGCATAAAATATGTATGTACATTTGTTTGGTAAGGGGTCAATTATGTTTATTAGTTCTGGTCCCTGCTCATAATGTTCGAATGCTGATAAGACTAAGAGGCCAGCTCTAAAGAACACCAAGAATCTAAACTATAAAGCCAGATTGATATAATATATTATGAGTTGAACTGTACATGAGGTATTTCTAGAAATACTATGATATTATTGTACTGATTCTTTTGTACAAAAATTTCAAAAATGTTTTTATTTGTATTAAAAATTACAAAATTTAAGTTAACGATTAATTTTTACAATATTTCACATCTAGAAAATGTAAATCTATCTTGAACTAAACTTCTATTTGAAATTATGTTACAAATCCATCGAACAAAGTTAGTCTCCAAGTCAGAATCTTCACATCAAAGAAGAAACTATTAAGCCTACAATTACCATCCTGGAGTAGTAGATTTTGCGAAAATTATTCTCGAATGGAATATCCAAAATTGCTAAAAACGTATTCATTAAGTTCTCAAGATCGGACGGAACTTTAAACTTCGTCCTTAGAACTTTTAACCCGTATTTATCATCTAGCCAGTCGGATTTTGCAAAAAGTATGAAGCACTCATCAAATGACTTTTCATAAAGATCTTTGAAAATGATATTTTCTGCCAATTTTCCACAGATTCGGATGGAATGTTCGAAATCGCTAAAGCACGCATTCTTTAAGTTCTTAAGTAGAGCTTTGGAAATAAGTTCAAGGCCAATCGGAAGAAACCTAAAGCTTCCCCCATGAAATCGACCGCCATTTCCATTGAGAACAAATGGAATTTTCCGAAATGTGTGAAACACGCATCAAATGAATTTGAACAAGGTCTTTGAAGATTAGCTTGAGGTCGATCGGCGATTTTTCCACACATGCAGGTGGAATTCCTCAAATACCCGTCATAATGGGCACCTACATAGCACAAGGTAACTACAGTAAAAATTTCATCTTCCTAGCTCTCACGGTTTGGCCCTTGCGTTGATCATCAATCAGTCCGGTAGGACAAACAGTTTTATAAATGGAGATCAATTTATGTCCATGACTTAATATATATACATACATATTAAAGGTTACAAGAGTCTGTCGTCTAATTCTTATGTGAACTGTGTTTTTATGTTATATCTGGAACTAGTTCCATGAGCGAAACCTTTCGTAAGACGCGTCAGCCCCGTTTACAATCATTGAGCTTATAAAAAGCAACGATAAGGCTGGCCCACTCACGATTTTAGATAAGCACAATTGCCGGCTACGAGCACGAATATCAAAAACTGATTAGTTTAAATCGAGCCACGTTACGGAGCACATTTGCAAGTTGCAGCAGTATGTCACAGAAAGATCAGTTTACATTCCGTCGGGCTGAAAAGGAGGATATAAAAGCAGTGCTAGAAATGATACAGGTAAGGCATGAACATAAATATATTTAATAAATGCAAATATAGTGATTATGACTGAACTTTCCATAGGAACTGGCTGACTTTGAGCGCATGAGCGATGGCCCCCAGCTGAGCGAGCAGGGTGAGTAGAGTATATCGAAGCGAGCTCGTCACCCATTTTGATATTTTTCCCACACGCAGAACTAATACGCGACGCGGGTCTTGATGGTGGACCCGAATATTGCCAAATCTATGTGCTCACAGACAATGCCACAAAGTAAATGAGACAAACACTTGATAAGAAAGATCATTAGAAAGCTGGGCGTCAAATTGAAAGACGCTCCGCAAATGTTTGCCTGACAAACAATGTTCAGTGTCAGTCAAATAACAAATCTGTTTGGCAAACATTTGCGCTTGAAGAGAGCATTCCGATAAGATTGGGCGCTACAATTTGACGGCATTAAATCAACATTTCCTTCAACAGGTCTAGCATTGGGTATGCTATCTGCTTTAACTCGTACTCCACCTGGCAGGGACGTTCCCTATTTCTCGAGGATATCTATGTTCGTCCTGCCCACCGCAAGCGGGGCGCCGGTGCGCGCATCTTTCGTGAAGTGGCCGCCATTGCGGTTAAGCTAGGCTGCCGACGACTGGACTTCCATGTGCTCAGCTGGAATCCGGCGCGTATGTTCTACGATCAGCTGGGCGCAACAAATTTAACGACAACGGAAAACTGGCATTTTTACCGCGTAGAGCAACAACAGTTGGGCAAGCTAGCCGGCGAATTGGAAAGATAGCTGGTAGTGTCTTTCGATCTGTCTATTTTTGTTAGGCTTATAAACAAATCAGTGCTTATTGCAATAAATAATACTTGGCTACATAAATTTGACTGATCACTGGTCCCCGCTGACACTCGCTATAACATGGATCTGCATGCTCTTGGTCGAATTGTAGACCTGGCCGGGCGGAAACGGATGCACCCTGGAGTGAGCATCGGCTTTATTCTTGCCCCCAGCTGTGTACTTGGACAGGCGTATGCTGGGCATAGGCAGAAAGCCAGTACTCAGGGGCATAACGTCCAGCGATATCGAATGACAGTCCACATCCTTCATGGATACGACACCTACAAGATTGTTAAATACATAGGTTAATGTGACAGGTTTGTAATTGATCCTGAGTAAAGCGCAAATTTGTATGTTTTTCAAATAAGCCAATTAAAAGCCTAGCTACATGGAAAGCGAACTTCGCCAAATCGAAGTTAAAGTACTCTATTATATAGAAAAGTGCAGAAGCCCACGTTATGAATTTAAACAGTTTTCAAGCCAAAAACGATTTAAAGAGACAATTCCTAAATTAAATAAAACAGTAAGATAATCAAAAAATAATCTTATAAAATTTCTTTGTAACAAGAAATCCCAAAACTTGACTGAATATTCATAATGAATCATAAGAAATAATGTATTATTAGAGCGAGCATCTACTGTAGGCTTTTACACGTTCATCAATAGGGCTTAATTGGCCCAATTGGGTGCTACTACGTGTGTTCGTAAACCAAAAACTTACCCATGTCTTTATATGCATTTAAAAGTGTATATCATGTGTCAAGAAATTAGAATTAAATAATAAGCAAACATATATAATTAAGATAAAATGGATAAACGACGACTCACCTGCGGAACGACCACAAACCGCCCACAGATTTTGATCATTGAGCACCTCGTACATAAGATCTACATATGGATTCTCATTGATTTTGGTAATCTTCAGATTTAAATTGCAAACGGTGCGCAGGCGGCACAACTCGTTCGGTTCCAACTGTGCCTGCAGCTTGAAGAGTGTGGAATATTCCACCAAATCAAAGGCACAACCATAATTGCGCCAGATATGCGGCTCTGACAGAGTTGCATATTTGACCACAAAGTGCACCTTGACAATGGGCAGCTCGTGTTCGGCTTTCAGAGGCTCCACTTGTATCTCATATAGATAGGTGACCGTCAAAGATTTATAGATTTCCTGCAAGTGGAATAGTGTCAGCTGAAATCTTCAAAAGGCGTTTCTTTTTTTAGTTTTAGGCTTACAATTGGGTCTTGTGACTCGGGATTGAGATCCAGCAGACGCACACCGGGCACATCACACTTAACTTTGGCGTGCTGCAGCAATAGTCGAGCATCCAGACCCTTCATAATGACCTGCAGGAACTTTTGTGTGCCGCACGTGTGCAGACGGCAAGTAGCTTCCATGGCGGGCTGAAACTCAATGGGTATTTGAAGGTCGTTACGCGACCAAGGGCAGCTGAGTGTTACATGATGCTCATGATGTTTGGCCATTTTGCGACCAGGCATATCGGTAAGAACCTCTAGCGGAATGCGACGCTCCTCGAACGACTTAAACTGCAACAGCGGCACTTGCAGCACATTCTCAAAGTTGGCATCGGTATTGCTGTCCGGCGCACTCGGCTCCAAGGCTTGCCGTATGCGCAGATTCTTAGAGCAGCGCAAAGTGATCTTTGCATCTGCGGGAAAGATGAAACTGCCGCCGGCCACATGCAAATTAATGGGTTGCACAATGCCCGCGATGAGAGTCTTAAACTCCAGTGAGGCACTCGCCGGCTTGGTGCAAATCTCAAAGCTCGGCGGCTGCACATTAAATGGCAGGTGCTCCGAGAGAAACTCCAGGCTGGACATAGTTAGACACACTTGCTTAAACTGCCAACGTCCCACGCGAGTCGCCTTTCCCTTTAGCTCTACAAGATTAATGCCCGGCTGCAATGCCATATTCTCGACCTGCACAATATTTGTGAAATCTGCTTGCACGCTGGGTGAGAGTTTGCGCTTGGTGCTGCTGGTGCGTCGCACCGGTTGCTTAGTCTTGGGTGTGTCACAGACCACCGAAGCGCAGTTGAGCGTATTGTCTTGCTTATGGAACAGTTGCAAAGAGACTTTAAGCCGCGATGAGCACTCCCTGTGCTGTGCAGGTACCAGAGAAACATCCTGCAAAGCTGTATCCATCTCGGGTGTTACGTGCAGCTCATAGCACAGCTTTATGCACTCGGCCACAATCTCACGCGGATACAGACTTTCCACCTTCAGCTGCACCAGCAAATGATCATCTTGTATAATGATCTTTGTATTCTGCACCGCGATGTCCACTATCCGAAAATGATCCTCCAGCACACAATAGTTCGCATTCTCTACGGATGGCTGTGCCGACAACGTTGTCTTCAGAGTTTTCAACGATTTAAGGAACTCATCAAAGTAAAAAGTGCGCACAAGTGTCTCCAACTCGGCGCAGCAGGAAATAGAGCTGCAGGTTTTGGTGTAGGCAAGCGAGTCGCCCATTTTGCGATAGCAATTGGCCAGCTCCAGCAGTGTCTGTGAGCTGAGCATATGCCAGTTCTCCGCCTTCAGTTCCCGCAACAAATCAGTAAAGAAACCCACCGCTTTGTGGGGCTCATTCAGAGCACAGTAGAATTTTCCCAAATCCAGACCAACCAGTCGGGCAGAGCGCAATCGCGTCACATGCTTGTATGTGCTAATTGCCAGCTCGGCCAGCTCGAGATAGAGCTTTTGGAATGTCTGATTCGAGCCCAATGCTTCCTTAAGCTGTTGCGCCGCCGACAGTTTGGGCTTGCGATTGGGCGAACGATCACGCAATTGCGGCATGGCCTGAAGAAACTGCTGTTGGGGCGGCGCATCGCCAATGCCCGAGGAGAGTTGCACGACGATGTGCAACTGCTCGGAACTGGGCGTACAGCCTGGCAATAGGCCACACAACTTGCCCAACTCATAGAGCTTGTCCTTGGCCAGGTTCCAAATTGGTGCACAGTGCTGGAAGCAGGTCACCTCGTTGGGTTCCATTGCCTGTTCGCATAGCTGCAGTACTTCGAGAGCGCAAACAAACTCCCAGCAACATAGTGCGCCCTCCTGGCAGTCCAGCTTTATAAACTCAACTTCGCGCAACGTGGAGAAAAGAAAACCCAACAGTCGTTTGGCAATCTCCGGTATCTCATTGCATGTGAGCAGCAGATAGGCCTGGCGCTCAAACAAATAGTTGCGGAATTCCAGCAGTGAGACGCCCTCATTTCGTATTTTTTGGCGCATCTCGAACTTGTCCACGCGGCTCAGACAGATGCCATGGAAAGCGCTAAGCGGACGCTTAAAGTATGCCAGCCACTGTTGCTTCTCGTTGAAGCCCGTGTGCGTGATGAACTGCGAGAACATTGCATCCAGTTCGTCGTATTGTATGAGCGCCTCTGTGGGCAATTCTAGTTTCTCGAATATCAGTGCCAAATCCTCCTGCATAAAGAAATATTGTCGAAAATCCCAATCATCGTGATTACGTTTCTCTCGCTTGCTGCGTATCAACTCCTCGTACTTGGCAATGTTGCGATTAAAGCTAGTGAGCATAAGGAATCGTATGCGGTGTACCAAGCAGCGAAAGGATTCCGTAGACTTCTGCTCAAATTTTGCTGGGTTCAATACGGAAATGCAACGATCATCGTTTTTACTGCCAAAATCTAAACGTATCTTATCCAGCACTGTAGTACGTGGCAGTAAGTTTTTTGTCTTGCGCATATCTAGCGTCTCCACCAGCAAAATCATCCAATCGGAGATGCCATAGCTGGTCAACAGCTTAAGCCAGGCATCAATTTCTTCTCTTATTGTAGCCTTGTATGTGTCGATGTCCTTTAAGAAGTAAAAAACATTACTATTATCTCTATATATGAAACCATTTATCCTAACAGATTGACTGACTGATTGAGATCAATTCATGCATTAGTTACTTTGAGTGATGAAGGCGTACTTTACGACGGAGTTTTGGCAATTCCCCAGCAAGAGTTGAAAATTGGCGAAAAATGGTTGGATAAAAGTCGGCTCGGCTCTAACTTATTTTTAAAGATTTTAGTGCAAATTTGAGATTGTTTCGATGAAGAACTACTGGTATTGGATGGACTTAAATATAATAAGAAACTCGTTCATTTATCCGCCCCACACACTCACATTACACTCCGTGACAAAGATGTGCAAAATAGGATGCTCCAAAATGCTCCATTCACCCCGTTTATATCTCTCCAGTGGCTCCACGCTAAACTGCTGGGTTTGCGCCTCCAAGCGTACATGTTTTGTTGGCCTTTGAAACGTTCGTCGCCACTCGCATGTGTCCAAGGGAATCGCATTTAGGATTTGCGATTCAAGCGATCGAAAAAGTGGAAATGAGCCAGAATCTGGAAACAAGTCATGCTTAACATACGCTTACAATACTGAGCTTGTATCGCACACTACTTACAGGTTATGATTGGCTTTATCTGCATTCTAATGTCAGTTTATTTTAATATTTTCATTTGAAATAACTTTAGAAACAGCACAAAGCAAAATAGTCAGCGTACAACACAATAACAGCTGATTTTGTTGTAACAGTCACATATGTTTATGGCATACAATTTAACATTTTTCTCCACTGTTATTAAAAGCGAGCAATAATTCAGCATATACTGTGGCTTATTCGATTTAGCAATAGTTAATAGCTCAAATATATTGTGTTGGCAAACCTTATATTGCTTATAAAAAAAACCAAGCTATTTAGCAGCTATTAAAAGGTTAATAAAAGAGATAAGACACAAGTGGGCCAATTAACAGCAACGGACTGGCGAATAATTAAAACCAGTTAATCGCTGCATTATTGTGAATTATATATCGATAGGCAAAATATTTATCGAACAGCTGACAGCGGGTGAAAGCAGAGAAATCATTAGAAACAATGCTGGGGATGTAAAAAAAAAAAATTCAATAAAATATTTCGAAAAACAATCATTTAACTCCCATATTCTTAGTTACTCTTATGTTTAAGTGCACAGACAATTAGCTGCTTCGGAATATGGAAATGGCCAGAAGCATATTCGGTCGCGACCACGAGGGTTACGTGGGCCGTGAAGAACATACGGTAACAATTCAATTTAGATGATAAATTAATTGCTTATCAAACTAATTAAAATTGCTAATTTTATACGCCGTCAACACAGCGCAAACTGCAGACCTTGAGCTCCGAAGACGATATAGGTGAACTACCACCCATGATGGAAGAACTGAGCGTGGCGGATGGCTTGCGTCCGAATCCAGGAGGACCGTTTTCCGCATTAACACCATCGATGTGGCCACAGGAGATACTCGCCAAACTGGGAGGCGAATCGGAACTAGCAGCAGCGGGACCCAATGATCAACCCGATTACCGATTCGATGAATTTGGTTTTCGCGTCGAGGAGGAGGATGGACCCGAGCAGAGCTCAAATAAACTGCTCAGCATACCCTTTATGGAGGATGCACAGCAACGTCTGCAGTGGATAGCCCACCTGGAGTTTGCCCACAACAAAGAGGCCAACGAACTAAGCTGGGAGCATGTCGAGCCGCTACTGCAGCGCACAGAAAAACTGCGAAAGATGGTGCAGAACGGCATACCGCACAGTCTTCGCCCACAAATGTGGATGCGGCTTTCCGGTGCGCTGTCCAAAAAGCGGAAAAGCGAGACCAGCTATCAGGACATTGTCAAGGGTGAGCCGACTTCATTGTACAGCCTAAAATATGTATATTGAATCTATGCCATCAATACAGCTTCCAGCAACGATCAGCTAATGACATCGAAGCAAATTGAAAAGGACTTGCTCCGCATATTGCCAACAAATGCGTGCTTTAGTCATCCGAATGGCACAGGCATACCACGATTGCGGCGTATTCTGCGCGGCATTGCGTGGCTCTTTCCGGACATTGGTTACTGCCAGGGCACCGGTGTCATTGTGGCCTGCCTGCTGCTGTTTATGGAGGAAGAAAATGCATTTTGGATGATGGTCACTATTGTGGAGGATTTACTACCGGCCTCATACTACAGCTCAACGTTGCTTGGCATACAAGCGGATCAGCGTGTGATGCAAACGCTGATAGCCAACTACTTAGCTAGCGTCGATGAGTCTCTTAAACGGCACGACATTGATCTATCACTGATAACGCTGCACTGGTTCCTAACACTATTCGCGAACGTGGTGCACATGAAAATATTAGTACGAATATGGGATTGGTTTTTCTACGAGGGTTCCATTGTGCTGTTTCAGCTAACGCTGGGCATGCTAAAAGTGAAGGAACAGGATCTCAAGCACTTGGAAAACTCGGCGCAAATATTCAATTCACTTTCCATGTGCTGCGAGGTGGATGACGTAGAGGTGCTTTTCCGGCAGGCGCTTGAAGTGGGTGGATCTTTGAGCCAAACCGTGATCGACACACATCGGCGTCGCCATCTGGCCTATTTGATGGCCGATCAAGGTCATCAGATTGGCAATCCGGAGGCTGCCGCCAATCTGCCCAAGCAGCAGCTAGCCCGACGTCAAGTGCGCAAAAGTAAATCGATACTGGAAGCATTTCTGTTTCGTGGCGATCCCGAATCGGATCAGCTAAAGAATAAAAACATACGACAGACCGAAATACTTGTGGATCTGCGCGAGGCCATACTAAAGGTAGGCCGTCATTTCATAACCATCGAACCAAAACTTGCGGGACACATACAACTGACGGCCAACTACAGCAGCGAATCTCATGCGAAGGATCATGAGAACTTCATCAATGTCGCACGCACCCGTAAACGGCGCGCCAAAGCGCTGCATGATTTTGAGCGGCATGACGACGATGAGTTGGGCTTCCGACGCAACGATATCATAACCATCATTAGCCAAAAAGACGAGCATTGCTGGGTAGGTGAGCTAAACGGCTTGCGGGGCTGGTTTCCCGCCAAGTTCGTCCAGCTGCTGGATGAGCGTAGCAAATTGTATACCTCGGCTGGCGATGATGCCATTTCGGAGACTGTTACAGATCTAGTGCGTGGCACTCTATCGCCCGCCATAAAAGCATTCCTCGAGCATGGCATGAAACGACCCACATTCCTGGGCGGACCCATACATCCGTGGCTATTCATTGAGGAGGTTTCTTCGCTCGAGGTGGAGAAGGACTTCAAATCTGTGTATAGCCGTTTGGTGCTTTGTAAAACTTATCGCCTAGATGAGGATGGCAAGGTATTGACGCCCGAGGAGCTGCTCTATCGCTGCGTGCAGGCCATTAATCAATCACACGATAATGCGCATGCCCAAATGGATGTTAAACTGCGTTCGCTCATCTGTCTAGGCCTCAACGAGCAGGTGTTGCATCTGTGGCTTGAAGTACTTTGCGCTTGCCAGGAGGTGGTGCAGAAATGGTATCACACCTGGAGCTTCATTGATTCCCCAGGCTGGGTGCAAATTAAATGCGAATTGCGCATACTCTCACAGTTTGCCTTCAATCTGAATCCGGACTGGGAACTTCCGCCCAAGCGTGGCAAGGAATCGCAGCCACTGAAGGATGGTGTACGCGATATGCTTGTTAAGCATCATTTGTTCTCCTGGGACCTATGAGTCGGCCTACGGGCGTTTACAAACGTGATCTGTGGGAATGCATCGCAAAAATGTTCGATATTTTTTTTTTATAGATTTGCGTAATGCCATTCATTAAGTATGTACAATCATGCACGTTGCCCAATCCGCCCTCAATTCCAAAGTATTTAAACTGATCAAAACCTACGCTGGAACTATGCTTTAATATTGCTTTCATGTTTTGTGCAATCTTTTCTAAGAAACTTATATCTTCGGCCCACCGAAGCAGACATATCCTTGCAGAATATGTACAGGAATTTCCCGAATTTCCAAGGCAGCTTTTTGTTTATTTACTCTGCAGGGGTATCAACTAAGCTTGTTAAAAACTTCTTTGTTGTGCGCTTATCATTACTTTAAGCCCCATTTGCATGCATATATATATACATATATATACATTTAAATTTAGTACTTGCTATTTAATTACTTTAAAATATATCCATCCATATTTGTAGCTCCCACATAACACAAAACCCAGCACACAAAGAATTGTACTAAATTACAAACATAATGTACCTTTGAATTTAAATCAAATCTTATAAAGTATTTATAATATATATACACCTAGATATTAAACAATCTAAAATGCATTTCATTAAAGTTTAAAACACATATATATATATATAGCAATTGTATTTTACGCTGAGTTGGTTTATATTAATTGCAGACCAGCCCCAAGTAATCATCCATCAGAGTTCCTATAGCAAACTGTTATAAGAAATTAATTAAATGTTTGCAATTTAAGAGCAAATCCTTGTGATAAGAAATGCACTTACAATGCCGGTGGCATCCACACGAGTGCCGACAATCTTCAGGCGTATTTTATCCTCGCCTGATATGACTACATCTTCATCTTTGGACTTGTAGCATGGTGGATTGCCATTTGGGCAGAATTGCATGTCAGCGGGAATAGACTGTAAGAAAATTAAAAAAAATAGTCATACACAATCACACACCAAATACCAAACTCACATGATGAGATATAAAACACGATAAAGGTCCGATTTCTGCAAACATGCCCACTTTATTTATCTGTTTGACGACAGCGTCGAGGACTTCACCCTTGAATGGCCGGAACACAATAGCCTTGTATTTCACTGGGTATACAACAAAGCCCTGACCTGGCTGTATAACACCAGAGCCGATCAGGTCTATTGTTGTGACAGCTATAACGAAACCATATTTGCCTGTACATGTGCCCTCCACCTCCGAGTAGAGCTTCTGTTTCACCGTCTCCAACAATTGTGGCCCAAAGTAGCGCGGATGTAGCAGAATTTCGTGTTCAAGCGAAATCTATGTGGCGCAAAGTTAAACAAATGTTGTAAAATTAACTAAACAGTGTAACTTACGTGATAAAACATTTTTTAAATAATTGTTTTATTAATTTTACTTATAAGTTAATAAATTGCAGAAAACTGACAAAAACGCGCAAGCAACATAATACAAATGTTATCGTTATCGATAAATTGCATTGCCGGCAATATTTACGACCAGTGCTAAAAAGTGTTAAACAAAAAAGCGGAATTTTCAAAAGGCAGCATTTTGCATGTATATATTTAACAAGTCTAAAAATTGCATAGGAGGCCAGTGTAAATTAAACACAAAATAAATTACATTCACCCATCACATAAACACATTAAACACTTAAAACATATGACTAAACTACTCTTCCTTAAGATTTAATTGAAACTCATGCGCCTGACCTCCTGGCCGAAAGATGCGCACATAGGCCGATTTAATTCCAAACTTCCAAATAGCTACAGTTGGCAAGTAATACATAAAGAGATCCATTAGCCAAACTCGAAAATTGAAATACCAGCGCACGATGGCATATTTGTGCAAAAAGGTAACAACAAACAAACCGTAACTAACGATAAATCGATCCCACAAATTCAGGTCATAATAGTACGCTTTCTGCTGCGGATCTTTTTGCTCACCGGCAGGATAATCAAAGCTGTAATATTCATAACCCTTTACGTAGGCCAAGCGCTTGGTAAAGTAAATATTTGCTCTAACCGACAGCATTGTATTGGCATGCCAAAGTCCATGGATAAGTGCTTCCGTCATGCGATAAAACTCATCATTCGTTTGCTCGAGCGCAGGCGTGTATACTCTACGCATGACAATGTTCAAACGCTCCTTCGACTCCAGCCAGTTGCTTCCACAAATATTGTATTCGTCTTTAATGCCCAGTAAATAGCCCAGTACGCGCCACATATGCGATGTAGCCTCCAGGAAATCATCATCGTAAAGCTGTATTCGGTGTGCTCCCAGCGTTATAAAGCCAATGAAACCAAACTGTGTCAAGGCTAAATCCTTTTGCGTTATCTGGCCAGCTCCACGTTGTTGGCAGGCATGACTAGAGCGCGAATGCGCCTGTCTCACAGCAGCAATGCTGGTCCAGAACTTGCTGTTTCTATCGTCAACGGAATGGAAATACCAGGCGTGTGTATGGAAAATGGTGCGCAAATAACGGCGATATGCAGTGAGGGCATTCGAAGACTGACGAGTACAGATAAGTACGCGGAGTATAGATGGTATGGCAAGAACTGCGATCAGACCAGCCAACATGCCTGAAGTCATCACAAAGCGATATTTGCTAAAATATCTCTGACCCCTGTACATGAGAAGTACATACAATATTTTTGTACACATACACAGCTTGTTTAATTTTACTACTACACTTACCGCTTGAATAGCTGTTCATTGTACCATGACGGCAGCTGCAGCTCTGCCCCGCTATCGCCCTCCTGGCTACCATTTATTAAAAGGTTCTCCAAGTATTGCTCAGCGTGTTCTTCATTGCCATTTTTAGCCGTACCTTCGCTTTTGTTTACGTGCATTTTCTAACATGCCACTGAAAATGCTTAAATCACAGTGAATCGGGCAGAGTAAATATTATACAACAACAATCTATCGTGACCAAGCACACATAAAAAGAGAAAGTTTTTCAGAGCTACATTTAACACTTGCACTTACCGACGCGTCGGTATCTCGTCGACGTTGCTTTCCCAGCCTTCAAAGGTAAACAAATTAAATTGGGTACAATTTGCACAATCCGAAAATGGCAAATTTCACAATTTAGCTGCAAGTTAGGCAATTTAACTACGAACAATTGAGCAATTGTTGTGCGCGGGAAGCTTGTGCCAATTACACTAACTAGCACGGCAGATGGTATTTATACTCTGTCTAATATTACAGACAGTAAGCTTTTTAGCTCTGCATTGCGAATGTAGCTCCAGAGAGCGTTGCGCGCCAAGTGTTCAAATATTTAGAGATAAACTAAGCAAAAATGCAATATTATGCTAATAATGTACCAAAGCGTTGCCATCTGTGCAAAAAGTCACTTTAATATGTTCCCGTTTGGCAACATGGTTTTTGTTATCGGCATTTCGATGACCAGAAGAAAACAGCAGTCGATAGCTGCGATTTCAAATTTAACGACATATTATTGGTAATTCATTGTTTTAGATCCCCAACATAAAGAACGTCTAAACGACTCGGATATGTTGTGTATTTCGCTTAGTTTTAGTGAAGCAACGATTCTTCTCTACGTTGAATTTCCGATAGCGATAACGTTAACGTTTTGAGATGGGAGAATGAGACCCGCTAACTATCGATGATGGGTCATTAAAAATATCAAATTTTCAATTTGGCAAAGTTTATCATGAACTAAAAATGTATAAAAAGTTATATAAGAAAAACTGTTTTTATTTGCAAGGTTTCGCAAAGTTTAAAATTTAGTAACATGTACCAATCGGCTTTACTCAATCCAGGTTTTTGGCTTCAAATGTTTAATAATAAATTGTATAACCCATTCACGTCCGAGGAAACCCGCGCTATAATGAACTAAACGTCATATAATATTTAACAAAGTTCTTTAATAATGACCCAAAAGTTAATCGAACCCAAAAACTGGTGAGCCACTGGAAAATACGCAGTGGTATAGATACAATTTTTATCCAGCCTTCTTCTCCGATCGTTCCACTACGACCAACATTGTCCTTAAATACTCCATAGTCCTTGCTTTCTCTTAAAGAAACTAATAAATGTAATTCATGAATTATCAAATATTCAAGTTAATCAACCCTTTACTATTGTAAATGCATACTATGTGTATTATTTTCAATATATTTAAAATATAAATAGCTTCCGCCTCATCGAAAAGTCGATACTTATAGCTCGTCATCGATAGCAGCTCTCATTTGCTCATCTCGGAGCGTTTACGATAGTTCTAAGCTATCGGAAATTCATTGTTAAGGAAGTTCAATCGTGCCGCCACCGCATTATCGACAAATTTTGCTTGTATTTAATAAAATAAGCAAGTTATGTTTTACCGTAGCAAATGGAGTCCTGATAAAAACTAAGTACTGATAAATACTAAGTGAAGTAAAGTGTAGCCCATATTTGACGTTCTTTATATGGGAAACTAAACGAAGAATTACCTAGGGATGGATCGATTAATTTTATCTCATCTCAGTGGCAGTGCTGTACAACAGGCTCCAACATGCGAAGTTAGCTAACACTTACAAAATACGGCAATATAAAAAATTCTTGCGACAAGAAAAAATAAAGCCGTAAATAATTATTACCCACAAATTGTTACATTAGCTGTTGTAAAAAGCGCAATAGTGTTAAGCTCCATATAAGTTAAAATTGAAAGCCGTTTAGTTGAAATTGATGTAAGCAGAAAACTTAAAACAAGGAGGAGCCAATTTAAGAGACAGCAACAAAGAAGGTCCGGCAGCATACATACATACATACAACATGCATAGATAAGCCTGCACTTCAAGCTACATATCAGCAAAAACATAGATCATGCCAATATCTATAAAAACAGTGAAATATCTAGTGCTTCTTGAATTGTATAATTGATCAAATTGATTGCTAAATTTGCGAACGGTCTGTGCAACGCTTGAGTCATTGTCATCTCTCCCTCTCTGGTTGTATGAGTGCGTGCATGTGTTCGTGTATGTGTGTGAGCGGTAAAGAAAAATATATAAACCCGTACGCAGTCAAAAACTACTCTCACTCACATTAATTTATACCTAATTATGCGCTTAATTAATTTTAATCATTTTTAATTAATAATAATTTGCGTACAACTACTTGCAGTTGCCGCAATCTTCAGTTGCAGCTCTACTTTTTGAGTGGGGCGGGGAACACGCACACCAATACAACCACACAACCAGCACACCCACACATATACATTTGTTAGACTTACGACTGCAATTGTAAACATCGACAGGCACTACGGAGCGAACGAAGCCAAATGACGGAATACAAGCTAGTTGTTGTTGGTGCCGGTGGCGTTGGCAAATCGGCGCTAACCATACAACTCATCCAAAATCATTTTGTAGATGAATACGATCCCACAATCGAGGACTCATATCGAAAGCAAGTGGTTATTGGTGTGTATTGAGCGAAACTATTATTATTGCAAAAATAATTAGTTTCTATTAAAATATAAACAAAATCTTAATGTTGTCAGATGGTGAGACCTGCTTGCTAGATATTCTGGATACCGCCGGCCAGGAAGAGTATTCCGCCATGCGTGATCAGTATATGCGCACCGGTGAGGGTTTTCTACTGGTGTTTGCGGTAAATAGTGCTAAATCCTTTGAAGATATTGGCACATATCGCGAGCAAATCAAACGTGTCAAGGACGCCGAGGAGGTGCCAATGGTGCTTGTGGGCAATAAATGTGATCTGGCTTCGTGGAACGTGCAGAACGAGCAAGCAAGAGAGGTAAACGCACGTCCGTTTTATTAACATACCATGAATATCACTAAATACTATGTATATCTACTTGCAGGTGGCCAAGCAATATGGCATTCCATATATTGAAACATCGGCCAAGACGCGCATGGGAGTCGATGATGCATTTTACACATTGGTGCGCGAAATACGCAAGGATAAAGATAACAAGGGACGAAAAGGACGTAAAACGAATAAGCCGAACCGTAGATTTAAATGTAAGATGCTCTAAATGGCCACGCTTAAGATTTATTTTTTCATTAACGCCTGTCCGGTTTGTGTGTATGTGAGTGTGTGTTTGTTGTGTGTGCCATAAAAATGCTGTAGCTTATATATTTTTTGTGGTATTTGTCATTGCTGATTTTCGTTTACGCACAAATACACATGCGCACACACACACCCACACAGACACAAGTGCGCGTGTTAGGTTGGTGCAATTGATGGGAGGATGAACAAAATTGTAATTAATTTAAGCAACTAAAGTTTTATTGTATGTTAAATCATTTTGTGTGTCGTTTTGAAAAGCTTTGTGGCGCCCTTTTAAGATTATTAATTATGCGTGTGTGCCGTACATGTATAAATAACTATGAATACTATTGTAACTGCCTTGGTTAAGCTGCTGCGACAGCGCATTTTTGATGACTATTTGCTTTCAGTAAGCACGAAACTAAAACTAACTCTGTATGTTATTTGTGTGTACCGTGCTTAAAACGATATTTGTATTTGATTAATTAATTCGTTTTCGGACCTGTTTCTTTTGGTTTACTGATTGGCCTAACAGCCAGTGTTTACAATTAATAGCATTTTTGGGAGCTGCATATATATCTTTTACCAGTCACGCTTGATTTCGTTCCCTCTCTTGCAAACACACTCACACGCACAAACAGAATTCCATTAGAATTTCCACAAGAAAATTGAAATGAAAATTTAACGAAAAGATCACTGTTCTTATATTTTTGTGGTGCTAACTTGAAAAAATCAACTGCAAACAACAGCACAAAATCTTGTATCAGTTATTTTAAAGTAATCGATTATATTTTTTTCTACTTATCTTACTGACCGAACGATCAGTTAACTAGCTTATGCAAAGCTTTTGCCTGAAAAGAAAATCGTGTCTATTATATCTTTGATTCGAATTACTTTACTGCATCGAAATCAGTTTATTATTATAGAGCTTTGCATAAGCTAGATACAATACGTATGGAGTAGATTGATGCTGCATTAAACAATAAGCATCCAATTACATATACATATTTAGTTTGCTTTAAGCTTTTTATACATACATAAATTAATATTTAATTTTTTTGTATTAATTTTTGCCATACAAAAAGGGAAGTAATAAATAAATTGTGTGTACTATTACATAGTTCGTTACAATTTTTTAATTTTATCAACAACACACAATTTCCCAAGGATAGTGGTATAACTGCTTTACTCTAAGCAGTAATAATATAATATACATTTAACATATTTCTCTCAATAGAATCATACAAATAACAATTGCTTAACATTTATTTTTAAATCATACTTGTAAAAATTTATATCAACTTTAAGCAGTCAGACATTTGGCCTTAAAGGCAGATCGGATACTGTCCAATTTTTCCATTTCATTTTGTGAATAGTCCCATTTTGGATTATTGTATTCGTCAAACGGTGCATTTGTCATATAAAGGATTGAATCGGCAGCAGGATAATACTCTAATATTTTTGGTAGCAACAGACGAGCCTCCACACGATACTCGAAAACCTTATCTCCAATTAACAATTCCAGGTTAGACTTCATTACATCGAGAAAGGGAAGGTCAATACTAAATTAAGGTTGAAATAAATTAAAGGCATTCAAATATTATAAGATATAAGCCTTACCTCTTCTCCATACATTTAACAATCAGTCGGTGTAGTATTAACTGACTAAAAAACATTGTCTGGAATTTAACAGTCATTATATGTAGCCAAAGCGACTCAAAAGCTGTTTGCAGCTGTTCCAATTTTAGGGAATCCCAATTCCTCGTGCAATATATATAAAAAACAGATATGATTGACTCTTGTTGATTGGATTGCAGGCTTGTCAGCGTCTTCAGTTTCTCCAATAACAGTTCGTAAGATGGCAAAAGTTTTGCAACCAGACATTCGAAAAGGTACGTAATATTAAGTAGATTGTTTGGGGCCAGAAGAGCTGTCCAGAGCATGTCAGACCAATACTCCGGCAAGGATTCGTAATTTAAAAATGTTCTGATGATGCGCATTTGAATTCTGTGGTCTCTCGAATTTTCCAAAACTACCTTTTTAGTAATCTGCTCATTGATGTTTAATAATTCATCAAACAGTGTATGAACCGATTGTTTTTCTTCCATTCGACTGACATACATAATATAATTGCTTCGTTTGATATGATCTTTTATATTCCAGGTGGATAAACTATTTAAATATGCATACGCGATGCTTTGTTAAAATTTAAAAATAATTTATATTATAATACATAAATAGAAAATAATAGTAAACTTACCGTGAAATCCCGGTTGGAGTCTTACAATAAAGTAACTCATTTATCAGCTTAGATACCGATAGGGAATTTGTGCTATACAAAATCGATCCAAGCTCCCAATTGTCATTACTATTTGCAATCATTTCGTCCAAAAGCTTTTCCGTTTTATATATGTCCAGATGCTTACATACATATTTCAATATGTTTCCAGGGCTGCGAAAACATAAAATTTTTATCGGTTACAACTTTTTGTTTGATTCAAATACTTACATGATCCAGCGACTGGGATAATTCCTTAACAGTAATCGAAAAGTTTCAATTACTTTGTCATCTTGCAGCTGTTTGTCATGCACACTCAAAAGTTTTGACAAATGCGATATTGTTTTAAATGTGCCATTCTCCAAAACTTCCACAGGATCCAAATGAAACTCTTCGAGTTGACTCCACTGATGCACGTTCTTTTCAAGAAATAAATCGACAGTTTGCTGCATTACAAAATATTTTTCCTCCTCCGTTTGGCAATTTAGCTTATTGATTAAATGTTTCTGCAACTCTTCTAGATTTTTACACTCGTTGATCAGTTCAATATTTACATCGTACTCAATGCGGTAAAAATCTTTAGCTTCATCATTGTAATGTAAAGAAAAGAAAGCAGGAAAACGCCACCATCCGTGCTGTGTTTTTGGCACATGTTCGAATTGCCTCAATAGTTCCATAAGTGGATCCCATAGATAATAGTTCTCCCGCTTATCACTAAGGAATTCGTAGAAGCTTTTCGTAAACAAACCAATTTCTTCGCTTATATTTTTGCAATTCTCGATTATCCTTGCTAGCAAATAAAGTCCATAAGCGCACACAATATCCTTGTCATTATATAGCGTCCTTATAAATGTTATGAAATCGCCCACGGACAAACTTTCGATGCTGACCTGAAATGTATAAAAGGCTTAGATAAACAAGATTATATTTACTTTAAAATTATTTAATTTGATTTCACCCACCTTAAAGACCTCACAAAAACGATTACTGGCATTGTTTCGTAAATCAATATGTTCTATATTTCGTACAAGCTTACCCATTTTCAGCAACAGGTTCTTAGTAATTTGTAACTTAATACAAGTCTCTATGCAATTCAGCCAACGGCACAGAGCAACTCCGTGCCAGGCCACCTCTCCAAACGCCTTGAACAACTGCTTCTGGGTATTTTTTGAGAAGAATGTTTTCATTTGTTGCTCTGGCAAATTGATGCCCTCCATGTCGTGCAGATGCGGACTATTGGTAGCTGCAAGGAACTCTTTCAGTAGACGGGCGCTACAGAGTTCAGCAATAGTAAAGTGATCCATAATAAAGACAAGGGTCGAGTGCAGCCTTGGAATATTGCTGTCCTGCAACAAGCAAAGGAAATTATTCCTTGCTGAATCAGCTTATTTATTCAACCGATTGGTCTTTCTTATATGACTCAGTTGATATGAATACAGCTATTAATTCTTTTTATATCACCCTAAACTCCCTCTTAGATGTGTGTATTCCTAAGTCAATTCCTTCGACTACTTTTTCAAAACCACCCTGGTTTACTCCCAGATTATCACATCTAAAAAATGTAAAATCCAAATATTTTAAAAAGTTTAAAAAGTCTGGTTCGTGTACAGACTTGGCTAAATATTCCATAGCCAAGTCGAACTTTTTTCTTCTTAATTCTCAATGCTATGAGAATTATCTAATTCGTTGTAAAAGGCAATTCGCCCGAAATCCGAGACAGTTTTATAATTTTGTAAACTTGAAGCGTAAGTCTTCAACTTTGCCATCTTCTTTTTTTCTTGGGATGGATAAAGCTAGCAATGACACTGATTCTGCTAACCTCTTTGCTAATTTTTTCCAATCAACTTACTCTTCAGTCTGTCCTAATACTAATTCTTACCCTTATACTATTTCCTCCGCTAGTTCTATACCTCCCCCCATTATTTCACACTCCTCTCTCCTATTAGCTATAAACTCTCTAAAATCTTCTTACTCTCCTGGGCCGGACAATATTCCTAGTTGTCTACTCAAGGAGTGCAGTTCTTCCCTTTTCTATCCATTGCTAAAGCTTTTTAATCTATCCCTTGAAACTTCTGTCTTTCCATCTCTTTGGAAAGAATCTTATATCATTCCTCTTCACAAGAAAGGTGGGAAGTCTGATATACAAAATTACAGGGGCATTGCAAAACTGTCTGCTATTCCTAAATTATTTGAAAAAATAATCACTTCGAATTTGCAGCATTTCTGCAAATCAGTTGTTTCCCCTGTTCAACATGGATTCGTAAAGAATCGGTCAACTACGACCAATCTGCTTGAGTTTACTTCCTTGGTAAATGATGCTTTCCTTTCGAAAATGCAAACTGATGTCATTTACACTGACTTCAGTAAGGCGTTTGACTCTGTGCACCATGACATCTTACTTTTTAAACTTGACCGAATAGGTTTCCCTCTGTCCCTTTTACTTTGGATTAATTCTTATTTAAAAGGTAGGACCCAAAGAGTAATACTGAGGTTGACTACCTCTAAAAGGGTTCACGTTACTTCTGGTGTTCCTCAAGGTAGTCATCTTGGACCTTTACTCTTTACACTTTTTATAAATGATCTTCCTTCTGTTATATCACATGCCCGTGTACTCATGTATGCGGACGATGTCAAACTTTTTCTATCATACACTAACCCCCTACATCATTCTCGTCTACAAGACGATTTGAACGCTATGCAACTTTGGTGTTCGGCCAATCAATTGCATCTAAATTGTTCAAAGTGTATGTTTATGACTTTTAATCGTACTACACCTTATCTTGTTAGTTATACAATCGACAATATCCCTTTGCAACGTATACTAACAGTTAAGGATCTTGGCGTTATTTTTGATTCTAAACTCTGTTTCAATCTTCATATAGATACCATTGTTAATGAGGCAAAAGGTGTACTTGGATTCATTAAACGATGGTCTAAAGAGTTTAACGATCCTTTTATAACAAAACTTCTGTACATCTCTCTTGTTCGCCCTATCCTTGAATACTGCTCTTGCATCTGGTCTCCACAGTATATCAACAGCCAGGATCGTATTGAATCTGTTCAGAAGCAATTTCTGCTTTTTGCCTTACGAGGTTTAAATTGGGACCCTAATCTTCGGTTGCCGTCCTACTCCAGCAGACTGCTTCTTCTCCACCTTCCGTCGTTAATCAACCGTAGGACAATTCTCGGTGTTGTCCTTCTACATAAGTTGATTATTGGCGACATTGATTCTCCTTTTCTGCTAGGGCGTCTTCAATTCTCTGTTCCGGCTAGACCAACCAGAAATTATCGCCCCTTATTACTATCTACGTGCACAACTGATTACGCTATGCACAATTCTTTTCGCGTGCTATGTAAAAATTATAATAGTTTGCATCACGTTTTCTCTACCGAACTGTCTCTACCCCTAATAAAATCGTTGCTTTCAGGATACCTTCGGGAAGTCGCTGACCATTCCCAGCTATGAGCAGGGGCATAGCTAGCCGGACAGGCTGAAAAATTTTCCCCCACCGTGTCGGTGATTTCCCAATACTTTTCTCTTTGTCCTATCCACTTAACACTCTTTATCTAACTTACATTGCTTTACTTTATTAACAATTTTCTTACTTTCTTTTTTCCTATTTATTGTATTTTCTTTATTAATTTAGCAAATTAAGATTATTTTTAATTTCACTTGAGATCACTTTTTTCCTACTTACAACCTTCTGCTTAGATGTAGGCTCTAATAGCGTCACTGACAAAATTAGCTGTGAAAAGGGGCACAGCTGGCCGGACTGGCAAATAAAACACCTCCATCGGTCGGTGATGCTATTTAGAAAATTGTATCCTTTAACTAGGCTTTTAGAATATACTTATATTGTACAACCTTTTGAATAATGAGGAAGACACTCGTTTTGTCGACCATTAATAAATAAATAAATAAATAAATAAATAAATAAAAAAAGCTAATGTAGAAAATGCGCATCCAATTTCCATCTGTATTATTTTCCTTTAGAAGCGATAGCCGAGCACCCAACGAATCTGGATTTTCTGGGGATTGCTCAATTTTCAGGCATTCAATTACACTAATATGGGAGAACAAATTCAGTTCGGTGCACTTGCTCTTGTCTAGTAACTTTTTCAGAAGCAGATGCCCAGATATACGTTCCTCATTTTTATTCGATTCCAGGAGCTTCTGTATGCGGCAGAACAGCTTTGAAGACTCAATATATTCGGCTCCCGAATCGCGCAAAATGTCATCCATTAGCTGTACTAATATTTGACCAGCATGTGGATCATTCTCGTTATTTGAAGCCCTTGAACAGAGCTGAGCCAATAGAAACTTGCCTTCATCTGGAAAGTGGCCTGTCCACATTTGTACACACAAAATGAAGTCGGATACCAGTTGGGGATTGCGGATCTGCCATACTTCATCTTTTACTGGATCAGGCATTATGACCGCAAACAACTTTGAAATCAATTTTGAAGCTAATTTCAGATTTTCACTGTTGTCTGTATTTAGTAAGCCGCAGACAAATTGAATAACACGCTTCAAGTTTGGTTCGTTTGCAATATCCATAAAGTCAAGCAGAATATCTATTAACTCCATCGCCGTTTCAGATTCCAAGGAACCGGGGAACGCAAATGTTGACATATCTTTGATCTTTGATTTGATCAATTTTGTTTAACTGTGAGCTTTTGAAATTAATTGGCAACACACATATTGTACACGGTGAACCAATCTATGTATAAAAAAATCTAAAATATCCACAATTTAAATTCTTATCGTAATTTCGACATTATTCGTAATCAAAAAACAGCTGTAAAAAACAATTCTCTTCTTATATTAAGAAGTCTGGCAACTTTATAAAACGGTCCGGCAGCATTCATAAGTGGTCAAACATTTGGTGGGTGACGTTACGCGCTCAAATTCAATTCCATGGATCTATATTGAAAATCACTTTAGACATGTTTCACATTTATCGCAAAATCAAAGCAAGGAGCGCTGGAAAGTGCGATTCTAAATTTTGTTTGTTTTGCATCCAACTTATTTTCAAAGCTCTACATAAGAACTTAATGAATATGTGTTTCAGCGGTTTTGGAAATCCACCCGCAACAGTGGTAAATTGGGGGAACATGCTGGTCTCTAATCGCAAGTCTTTTATTTGGCCTTAAGGTTCTTACAACAAGGCTAACAATGGCGGAAACCTCTGATTACAACATTTGGTTCTATATTCGATGCACTTTAAGTATATTTTTAAATAGAAGTGGCGATCAAGATGGTACGGGTAGATTTCAGTTTTTCACGGCCGTATACTCAGCGGAAAGTTACTATCTAAGATTTTCGCAAACGTTCCATGGGCAAGTCCGTGCGCTAGTCATTTATAAAAAAAAAAACAAGTAAGAGGTTCTAGTCGGAAGCTCCCGACTAGGGAATACCCTGAACCCTCTTATTTAACCTTTAACCTTTTAACCATTTTCAATGGGTTCAGGGTATAAAAACAATTTCAAATCAGTGAATAAATACAGTATTAACATTTCAATGTTTAATTGAACGAAAACAGCTCAACTCTGGGCACATACATATGTACATTGTCCTTAGTTTTATATATACCGTTAGTCAGGTGCATTAATCTGATTTTGCTGTATTTAAATACTTTTTAATGATGAATTTCATAATGTTCTGCAACCAATTCCAATGCCGATGATAAGTCCACGGTGACTTTAGCACTACTGAAACTGTCCAGTTTAGTAGCTGCACTCTTTTATTCTTCAATTGGTTTTTTTTTCATATCACTTCTAATCAAATCACCGATAAGAGTAAACAATGAGCTATAACCAAATGGATCGATATAGCAGGCTGGTCTCTTTTGCTTTAGGCTTAGATAGGGAGAATATAAAAATTCTCTTTGATTTGTTTAAGAGTATTGGTTAAGGGAACTGTGCTAACTAGAATTTAAAGGTACGATTTAAACTAATTTTTGAATCGCAATTTCGAAAAAATAAATCAATGCCATATCTAAAAATAATTGAACACCAAACTTTAGGAGAAAAGGATTATATATAAGTATAGTAATAGCAATAGATATAGCTATATTTTTAAACTATTGTAATGCAAATTGCTGAACTTCATTACCCGCTGATAATACAACGGTTTCTGGTGTGGTTGGTGCGCCCAGTCGCACCCATTCCCGCGGCAATCCGGCATCCTGCCTGGCCGATTGTATAGCATGCTGCATGGCGAAGAGCACGCCCACAGCCAGACAGAGAGCCGGTTCGCCCGTGGCCTTTGAGCGTAGGAAACCAACGGGGTTGGGACTTTTTTGCAGTAGCTCAATGCGGAAATCTATCGGTATATCCTTCGCGCCTGGTGGATGATAGTTCCAAGTGCGATTCGTAAGAAGGCGACCCGTTTGGCGGTCGTAGAGCATTAGCTCGGTTAGATAGTAACCCAGACCCATGACGAAGGCTCCTTCAACCTGACCGACATCAATGCTGGGACTGAGACTCTCGCCCGCATCCTCTAGGATGTCAACGCGACGTATCACGTGGTTGCCAGTCAATATGTCCAATTCAAGCTCGCTCAGACTCAAACCATGTATGCTGTAGCCACTTTGATCACCCATTTTGTAAGATTCAGTTGCAATCAAACTGATCGATTGGGTAAAGGCCGACTCGATAACCTGCTGCCAGCTAGCCTTGGCGCCCAACCTGCGCTTGACCGGCTCTAGACGCTGGTTAAGTGTGTCGCAGGCTTTGCGCACGGAAATTCCAACCAGTTCACTGGCCATTGAGTTGGCTGTCACAAAAGAATTGGCTCCCGTGATTGTATTGCTGTTCTCCACACGCACGCGCTCTAGCGGCACACCTAGCACAAACGCAGCCACTTGAGCTACCTTTGTATTTATGCCCTGACCTATCTCAATGCCACCGTGCGAGATGACCACCGAGCCATCCGCATGGTAAATAGCCACCGTCGTGGGGTAGCACAAGGCGATGCTCACATTTAAAGGAAACTCCATTAGTGCCAAACCCAAACCTCGTTTGCGCCATCGGTTTTGAGCGTTAAATAAGTTGATTTGCTCCCGACGTTTGCGGTACTCAGTGGAAGCCAGGAATCGAGGCAGCAGCTGTACCATTTTGCTGCCCGGTCGGAGATTTACAAGACGCACATCCGCTGGGTCCAATTTACACGCAAAGGCAATGTGCTCCAGTGCCGTTTCTGTCATAGCAATGGCTGCATGAGCAAAGGAGAATTAGCGTTTAACTTTAGATACTCGTTCAACTTTGACTAACCCTCTGCTGTTCCTGGCGCCCGACACCATGTTGAGCTGGGCGCATCCGTTTTTACAGCAGTACCCTTTGTTTTGAAGTTCAAGTTGGTCAGATTGTACACATTTTTGATTGCTGGTAAGGTGAGAAAGTCGACGACATTCTCGTTAAGGGTGCAGCCCGCATCCTCGTAGTAGTTGTTGCTGAGCATGCGTATGGAGCCATTAGCACGCGCCTGAAATTCGTAGTCGGAGCGACAAGCCCAGCGCTTTCCGTTTGTCTCCATCATGGATTCGATAGTTTGCACAAAACGTGCTGGCCGATTCAATTTGTGTGCAACAAGTGCACAGGCACATGCCACTTGGTTACAACGTGTAACCTTGGCACCATAGGCTCCGCCGACGCGTCGCACCTGTAACTGGACTGCATTTGCCTCCAATTTGAGCATTCGCGATATGCTGGCCTGTGTCACGTCCATCCATTGAGTGGCGCTCCAAACCTGCAGTCCCTGTTCAACAGGCACCACCACCGTCGTTTGTGGCTCCATGGTGAAGTGGTATTGCGAATCAAGCTCAAGAATCCCACGTCCTAGCACATCGCCTGGGTCGACCGGTGGCTTGGAAAACTCCTCAGTTGGCCCACAGCTTGTCACGAGACGATTTTCCACCTTGTCTGCCAGCACGGCATTCATGCTGGTATAGATCTTCGCCTGGTTATTGGCATAAGTCACCCGCACCAATGTCGCCGCATATACGGCCAGATCGTGGGTAACGGCAGCGATTACTCCCAGCGGCTGATCATAGTGCTGAACTCGTCCGGAGCAAAAGATCTCCTCCACTTCGACTGTCAGCAAATTGGTATTGTTGAAGTTATTGTCCCCTGGAATGTCCCTGACTCCAAAAAAGGCAACCACGCCTTTGCACTGGAACGCATCTGTTGCATCGATCAGTTCGATTGTGGCTCCCACCCGCTTGGCCGTCACAAAGGCGCAGTACATAGCATTAGAAGTGGTCAGTAGATCGTTTACGTAGTTTGCCTCGCCGGAGCATTGAATGAGGCCTAACAAAAGTGAAGCAGTTCAATTAAGATACTTAATTTGTAAAGCTACGATAAATACATACCCTCAAGCTTCTGCACCGCCTGTGTCACGGGATAGTTGTTGTGAATGGTCTCGAATGTTTGACTTCCCGATGAAAGGGAGCGCTCCAGCAAGTCTCCTCCGCTGCGAAAACGCTGCGGGATAAGATCCTCGGGCGCCGACCCAAGTAAAAACTTGTAAAAAAGCCCGCAGGCTAGTTTCTGGCGATACTCAGGCGATGCCTCAGGAGGCATTTCCACTGGCTGCAGGCTCCTCAGCAGCTGCTCGAAAACTTGCGTGACTGTGGCGCTGTCGTAGAGTTCGCGACCCACCAACAATTGCTCGGCATCTTGGGCGTGCACGTAATCAGGCCGAATGTTGCCAAGGCAAAGGCGAGCCGAGCCCACTATGCGATGCTGTGTATTCTGCCACTCGATAAGGAAACCAGCATTGACATAGGCATGTACGTTTTGAGCACGCGGCAGTATCTGTTCATAGAGAAAGCCGGGAAGTTATGTGGAGGGCGTGTACGCTCATCGAAGAGACTCACCTTATAGGAGTTGAACAAGTATTTCGGCTTGGGATAGGGTCGTAATATAAACGCACCAATGACCAGTTTGGGCGTGGTATCCTGCAGATAAGCCAACAGGCTCATTACCCGTTGACTGCGTGCATTCTCATACACCAAGACCTGCGCATCTAGAGCTTCAAATGTGATGAATACATCCGAGGGAAACTCCGGATGCTGCTTCTTGATTGAGATGTTTCCCGCCAGAGTTCCGTTCTGAAAATGATTATATATTTTATCAACCGTATCCTATCTATGAACATAAGTGTTTTTGTTATGGAATTAACTGGCTTGGAAGAGCATCAGAAAGTTTCATCTTAATTTTTAATCGTATTCATATAGGCGCTGAAACAAGTTTTAAACTGGATTGTGTCATACTCACATTTCGCACTGGCACATTCGCAATCAGGTTGAAGTGCGTCCACAACTGTGCACAATACTCGAAGCCGGCGCGTTGTTGCGCCTGTCGAAAGAGCTGCATGGCATCTGTGAGTGTCACGTTGGCACCCAGCAATAGGCGGTTCGGTTCGATGCTGTGATGCTTGAGCTCCGGCACCATGTTGACATCCACAAAGTGCTGTATACTCCTAGACCGCCTGTAGACGCCGTGCGCTGTGTTGCCCGCTACCAGGATATACTCCTCTTCGTTAGGCACCTGAGCCAGTGCCTCGAACAGCTCCGCGAGCGTCTTTGGCCAATACCAATGGCTGCTGTTCTGAGCTGGCAGCGACGGGCGAGAACAACTGCCGCTGCAGCATTGGCCGGTGCGTGGGCAGAGCAGCTCAAAGGAATCCTCAATGTCCACGCACTCCGCTGGAACGTCAATATTACTGTCCACGGCAAATGATTTCATGGCATCGAGGATGGGCCGGTAGCCGGTGCAGCGGCATATATTGCCACCAAATGCATCCTCTACCTCAGCCATGGTCACGTGCCCCCCTTGACTCTCCAGCAGCCCGTACATGTTCATCACGAATCCCGGCGTGCAGTATCCGCACTGAGTGCCGTTAAGCTTAGCCAAGCGCTTCTGTATGGGGTGATAGCCGCTGTTCTTATTGCCCAGCCCCTCGTCGGTAATAATGTCCACATCGTTGCAACTGTTGAGCAGGGTCAAACACTTGAAATGGAAACATATGCATTGATAGCCTTTTAATCGAGACCAGTCCACTTTTCTACTGAATATTTTCCTTCCTTCCACTTACTGAGTTGGCCGCACGGGAACTTATTTCACCTGTAATAGGATGTCGGCGTCGAATGAGACAAATGCAGGAGCCACAGCCACCCTCCAGGCACATGTACTTGGTGGCCGTCAGATGGAGGTGATCCCTGAGGAACGTGTTTAGAGTGATGTCCGCGGCGTAGTCCGCTGGCTGCACCTCGTACGGAAAGCCATTCACATTGAACTTGATGCTCATATTGAAGAAGATGGAAGCCAAATACCGAATCCATTGCTCAGCGCTTGTATTTAAAGCCCCTGCTGGAACCTGATTACTACTAAAAAGATTTGAGTTAAACGGGTTCCCTGAGCTTGCGTGCAAGCACTGCGCAAAACGTTCAGTAATAAATCAAATCGCTTTAACTTACTTTTATTTTATCCCATGTTCTTTTTACGGAACCTAACGAAAGTCTTTCGTCTCGGGTTGCAATAAGTGATACTCTTTGGATGTTAAATGCTTAGTGTACAATTTGTTTAGCGTAAAAAGAAATGGAACTCGAAACTGGAAGACTTTTAAACGTAAGCTAAAGCTATATTCTCTTTGCTGATAATGCATATTTGTCTTTACAAGTAGAGTTAGGCATTGAAAATTGTCTACCTTTCAATCCAATCAAAAATAATTCATTCATATCTGAAGTACATATATTGTACATACATACATATATCAGATACTGTATACATATGTGCATTACGGCTTCGGTTAATTTTGTTTGGCTTGAAATGTGTATAACGTTTGGAAACAGGTGCTTATTTTGGGCAAACATAGGCGTCTCTACATCATCTCTGATCATGTCTGCACGCATTTATCTTTGATATATTAAATTTTGGTATAAAACCGTCCTGAGAAGCATCTTCTTTGTTTTCTATATTTGTTTAGGATTAAAGGAATTAATTTGTATCTCGTTTTATGCGTAAGCAATTCTAGAAAATTGATAATCACATATAAAGTGACAACATAAACAAACTTACTTTGCTTATCGGCAAATACAACAACATGTTTAGTATATATAACATGGTTAGTTTTTTTAAAGGCAGACTTTTTTCGCCGATAGGAAAATAAAGTCGATAATTAGTCGATAGTCTAAGCGGGTGCGAAAGAACTAAAAGTATTCATTTTTCGAAACTAGCTCATCTGTTTTGGTTCATTTGTTCATTAACCGTCAGTCCGATTAAACCGATTTCCATACAACTAAGTATCACACATCTCCAATTTTTTCTCACGGCAGTCGGCATTTGCCCATTTTATTGATTATTACATTTGTGTGGCTTTAAATTTGATTTAATTGCATAACAATTCAACAATTTTAATACAATCTTGAAGTAAAATAAACTTTAAGGTAAGTACGTCATATGCATTGAAAATGTTGCGAATGGCGTACAAGACGCGACGACGCCGCAAGTCGCCATCTTTTTTTCGCGATGACGCTGAACATGTTGCCGGAGTAACATTTAGTATAGACTTCAGACATTTGCAGGAGACAGAGACATGAACATGGATGCGAATGCTGTCGAAAATCGTGAAAAGGAACGTGACCGACGAGGACGTGGTGCACGCGGTTCACGTTTCTCTGATGCCGACGGTAACAATGGCAACGCCGCTGGCGGTGGGGGAGGAGGCGGCGGCTCAAATATCGCACGCGACAGAAGCCGTGAAAGACGCAATTGCCGCGTATACATATCGAACATTCCGTACGATTACCGCTGGCAAGACCTGAAAGATCTGTTTCGTCGCATTGTCGGCTCCATTGAGTATGTCCAACTGTTCCATGACGAAAGCGGCAAGGCACGTGGCTGTGGCATTGTCGAGTTCAAAGATCCAGAGAACGTGCAAAAGGCAATGGAGAAAATGAATCGCTATGAGCTGAATGGACGTGAGCTGGTTGTCAAGGAAGACCATGGCGAGCAGCGTGATCAATACGGGCGAATTGTACGCGATGGTGCTGGCGGCGGAGGCGGTGGTGTTGGCGGCGGTGGAAATGGTGGCGGTCGCGACCATATGGACGATCGAGATCGAGGCTTTTCGCGTCGTGACGATGACAGAATGTGAGTATCATTATTATATTTCACATGTTTATTTATTTTCCGGTAATCCAAGCAAATCGCCAAGGAAGAAATGTTGTGTTCCAAGCACATAATTGCTAGTGTATCAGAAAAAGAAAATTATTGCTATCGAAATTTTTGGGGAAGGGTATTCAGTGTTTTTAACGAAGTTTCATATTAGGCATCATCATTTGTAATGGTAATGGCAACGATTGCTTTTCAACTTTCAATACTCTTGTTAATTGAAGAAGTTCCGAAATGGGGTTTATTGATCTCTTTACTGAACTATGACACTTTGCTGATAACTTTACTTCGAAAAGAAAAGGGAAACCCTGTGCCTTGTTCGTTTACTCGCAGCGTTTACTGCCGCTTTTAGACTTAAATTGTTCAGCGGTCGGCAGTTTTTTGTTCCTCAGCAAATGGAAAAACGAGAATTCAAGTGGTTTATAAATATGGCAACGTTTTTAGACAAGGCTTTTGTGTCATAGATCTTTTTTCTGATAATAAGGTTTGTTACGGTTTGTAATTCCACCAAAAATCGAATAGGAAAAATCAAAAATCTATTGACAAAATATAGGATATATTTGTTCCATTTCTGTATTTCGGGAATTGCCTTATATATAAATTTGTTAGCATAAAGTTTCATTGATTTCGGTTGCAGCATTCATTCATTTATGTCGTTGAAGTTGATGATATGATTAATTAATTTACTAAGTATCCTGTGGTAAATTGGACAGAATATTAACTCTGTCAAACATTGGCTATTCTAGAATATATGATTAAAAAGAATTAATTATTGAAAATACAGTTTCTGCGAATTATGCTATCGAATTAAATAAATTCAAAATGTTTCTTAGATTTCATTTTTGCCTAAAATTAAAATATAATAACAACGTCAAGGCGGTAATCTTAGATACGGCGTTCTGGATTTAATCCGATTGTAGCTGAGATGCGTGCGCTCTTGGGATACGTGTATTTGTTGTGCTTTATCTCTTGCTCTTGCTCTTGCTCTTGTTATTTTTTCTCTCTGGATCTTTTGGCTTCTTTTTCTAGATCTGGGCGTAATAATTTTAACATGATGTCGAATGATTTTAATTCGTCGAATTACAATTTGTATGGGCTTTCTGCTTCGTTTTTGGAGAGTCTTGGCATAAGTGGACCTTTGCATAATAAGGTTTTTGTTGCTAATGTGAGTATAAGTATTATAAAAATTCCAATAACTATGTAAACTACTGTATTGAACCAAAAAACAAACCAATACCGATACCAAACCAAACCAACCAAACCATTACAATACATACACATATATTCTATATGATAGATATATGTTTTGTAGCTTGTGCATTCTTCGCCCAGTTGTTTTTAAGTCGTAAGTTGCGTTTATTCTATCTAAGTATGTACACATATTTGGTTTTCATCGTGGGCTCTGTTTCGTATTTATAACCCAACTATAGAAATAACATATGATTTTTAGCTAAGATGCGAATACAATTTTACTCCACGCCCGTCCTTTCTGTATAATTTATTTTGCTCCCTTTGTATTTGATAATCTTCAAACAATATAATTACGATTTTCTTCTTTGATTTTTGATCTTCACAAAGCTGATATAGATGGATAAATATGACATTTGTAGTCCTTCCTTTTTTATAATCCGTTGACTCTCTTATATCGGTCTCAAAGAGAATGAATTGACGGCGACAGTCCAAAATTTTTAAATAAAATGGAAATAGGGATTTTTGAAAATGGATCCTGTATGTATTGATAGATATGAAGATATGCATCAGCATCCAGATTTTGGCGAATTCCCAAGACTGTTCATCCTACTAAAAGGGTGCTAGGCCAGTTTTATTTTCAATCGACGTTTACTAGAGAATGGAGTATACGCTCTAAAACAATTGAAAACCGACGGGAAGTTCTTGAAGCCTTTTTTTTTTTAAATATTAAAATGAAGTGAAAATAAAAATGCTCTCGGCATCAATACATAATATTCAATTTCAGACTATCCCCTGAATGGATTTCATTATTGTTGCATTGTGTTGTAATGTTATGTAACTAGATTAATCTAGTTCTATTCTGATTTTGTTTGTCGGTCGATAATCGAGACTCTTCCAAAGGGATGAGGAAACCTGCAGCTGGGTTATAAATATGAAACAGTCGTTTAACTGAGAGCCTGCTGCGTCGCTTTTGGATCAACTAGCCTGGCCAACGGCTTGATACCTGAGATTCTGCAGACTTCGTTTGCTCCTAGTTAAGGTGGCGGCCGGAGTCGACAACAGTGGGACAATGATTTGATCCGTTCTTAACTGTTGTCCAAGGCGATGACCATTATTTTAATATCTAAAACTTTGTGATGTTTCTGTCTCAACAGCTGGACTATAAGGTGGACAGTAAGAAGCTTAAGCAAGTCTTTAAGCTTGCTGGCAAGGTGCAAAGCGTGGATCTATCCTTGGATAAGGAGGGTCATAGTCGTGGCTTTGCTGTAGTCGAATATGATCATCCAGTGGAGGCCGTACAGGCAATTTCTATGTTGGATCGCCAGATGCTCTACGATCGTCGTATGACAGTTCGTTTGGATCGTATACCCGACAAGGGTGAGGGTCTTAAGCTACCCGAAGGATTAGGTGGTGTGGGCATTGGCCTAGGCCCCAACGGTGAGCCTCTAAAGGATGTCGCCCACAATCTGCCTAATGGTGGTAATCAGAACGCTTCCCAACTGCTCGGCAATGTGCAGAGCGCCCAACAGCTATCCGCAGTGGCTGGCGGTCAGGTTGTTGGCGGTGGTAACTCCAATGCTAGCAATCTGCTGGGAAGCCTTAGTGGCGTAATGTTTGGCAATAACCCTGCTGTGCAGCCCTCTCCAGTGGCGCCGGTTCAAAAGCCCAGCATGGGCAACAATCCTGGAGGCGGCGGTGGCGGCATCAATCTAAATAACTTAAATCCCAGCAATTTGGCTGCTGTGGTCGGCAATTTGGGCAACCTGGGTGCCGCTCTGTCCAATCCGCTGCTCACCTCATCACTGAACACCCTTGGTCTTAATCTGGGCAATGCGGGCGGCAACGATGACGGACTAGTTTCTGCCAGCAATGTTGGTCTGTCCAATAACTACAGCAGCGGCGGCGGCGGCTATGGTGGTGCTGGAAACAACTACAACAGTGGCGGTGGTACGACCGGCAGCGGCGGTGGTGGCGTCTCCGGTGGCAATGTTGGCTACAATTCATACAACAGCAGCGCTGGCGGCGTCTCAAATGCCGGCAATAATCAGCTGGACGGCAATGACTATGGCAATTCTGGCAATCAGTTGGACATGTTTGGCGGCGGTGGTGGCAACGTTGGCGGTGGCAATGTTGGCGTTGGTGTCGGCGCTGGTAATGCCGGCGGCAATGGTGCACGCAAATCTGATACTATTATCATCAAGAATGTGCCACTCAGCTGCACATGGCAGACACTTCGCGATAAATTCCGTGACGTCGGTGATGTCAAGTTTGCCGAAATACGCGGCAACGATGTGGGTGTGGTTCGTTTCTTTAAGGAGCGTGACGCGGAGCTAGCCATAGGTAAGAATACAATTAACCTGGTCTTGCTTAAAACTCTAACAATAAATTCTTATCCACAGCTCTCATGGATGGCTCGCGTCTGGATGGTCGTACCATCAAAGTAACTTACTTTTAAGTCGTTTCCCTTAGATTTTTAATCGCAAAGGCCGTATGTCCACGCAATGAACCGTAGGAACTTCTAGACACGATTAACGGCTTACCTTAACCCACAGCAGGCAGCAGAGCAGCGGCTAGACTGTCCGAACCATTTTAGTTTGTAGTAACCCACAAACAACTAATTGTTTAATTTTTATACATACATTTACATTACTAATAACAAAAAGTATCATAAAATAA